CCCCCAAAAAAAAAGGAAACCTTAATAAAGTAAACTGTCCTGCATTTGGGTTGAGATGATCTAGTGGTTAGAGCAGAGGTCTGGCTCTCAGGACTCCTGGGTTCTCTTCCCAGCTGTATGAGTTTAGATGCACTTTAGCTCCCTGTGGCTGAGTTTCCTGTAAACTGGAGATAAAATTACTTGCCTATCTCATGGGGTATTGCATAGCTGCATTAATGAAGTGCGTAAAGTGCAATGAGATCCTTGGGGGGAAAGCGCTGTGCAGCAGCAAACTATTAGTTCTAGACAAGTCCACTCCAGTGCCTACCTAGTCATCAGTGCCTGTGCTGATGATCACAATAACAGTTCTACAGGTAAGTACATTCATTTAGCTTTGGAGCCTGATTTTCCTCTATAAAATATTAACAGCATGGAAGGCCTGTTTTTAGGACTTTCACAGGTTGTTCGTTTATTAGCAGCAAGAAAGCATTAAACTGATGGGAGGCCCGGGGCGGGGGAGGGATTGTCAAGCTTTCTGATGCTACTAGTAATCTTTAGAATCAAGTTTAAATGCATTTGTATTTGATTTAGGAAGGGGGAATTAGATTAAAATGTACAAAATAAGACATTCTCATTCTGTAAATGATCCCAGGCATTTGTTTAATTTTTAAATCGTTATGGCAAAAAAATAAAAAAGGCAGATGTAGATGAATAAGGAAATAGAAATAACTTCTCAGTGACAGAAAGATGCAGCAACAGCCTTTGTATCCTCGCCAGCAAAAATCTTCCAAACCATCCCAGTGGTTTGCCACAGATAAAGTATATTGTTTCTCCCACCCTCTGGGTTCTATGCATAGAATAATAATGGTTGCCACATCCGTCAGAAATGGTATTTCCCAGGATTAAGGATTCTTTCGAAGGTTTATTTTTATCTCCGTTGTGCAGTAGCACAGGTAGGCGAGCTAATGCAGCTGCATTACAGAACCAATTAACATGTAGTGATGAACTCCATAACCTCAAGGGACTTAGCCTCCATGAAGCAGGACTGACATCACCGCTTGTCTGTCATGTGAATTACCAGCGAAGATGTTTCTTCCTTTATAAGACAATACGAATCTCCTTGCCACATAACACTGACTGGGTTAGACTCAGCATATTGTATTTTTCATGCATTAGATCTTTTGCTGCAGCTACTGATTCAGACTATGCAGCTTTCCGAACAACAGCCAAATTCATCTGTGGTTTAAATCCGCTCCGGAGTTAATCTCTCCCAGAAGTAATTCCACTCAGTAATGAACGTGGCCCCAGAATGTCTGTCTGCTTTCAAGCACAGCTGAAAGATGTACGAGGAAGACAGCATTTTTTGCTGAGAAAAGACCCGCAGAGTTCTCTGAAGCGAACCAAGGGCAAAGCAGAAGACTGACAGGATATCTCCAAGGGAAATGCATGAAATGATGAGGGTTATTCAGGAGATACTTGACCTCAGAATCAGTCAGCCCTGAAACAATGTCCTGTTTTGGTATGAGGCACCATTGGACTTCCAGATAAGTCTTTCTTCAAATAAAAGCAATGTCTGAACTATCCAGGGTCATAAGAGAACTCGCAGCCACTTCTGGAAGAGCAGGGGTGCTACCCACGCGTTCTGCCAAGGTTTTAGTCTTCCCAGGTGTCAGGTCCCAATTCAAATGCTCTGCCCAGTCTAGTTGTAAATGTCCCAAGCCCTAGTGTTACCTTGGCCTCTCTCAGGTGATTGTTTCCCAATCTTAGCCCTTGCCACTGCTCTACCTTGATAAATGCTGCCTCCCCTTAGGCCCCAGCCTTAGGAAAAGGTCACACAATCAAAATACTTGTATGCACTGTTGCTCTAAGAGGGACAAGCACTGGAGGTGGCTGACACATTAACTTTGCCTGCAGAGGGGAGGTGAAGTACGAACCCTGGACTGCATGCCAAGCTCTGATGAGTATTATGGTCAAATCGGCATGGACTCTTCCACCAACCGCCCCCCCCAAAACACCCGTAAGCTTGGCTTTGTAGTTGATTTGGCAAACTGGAGCATCTCCTCCCAAGCATCCTTACATTGCACTCTCCCCACTTCAGTCTCTTCCATGGAGCTCCTATGGTCTAAACTCGGTCATGCAGCCAGATCACATACCTACCTCCCTGCCTTCGGGGGAAGAGTCACTGAAGCCACATCCAAAAAAACATGCCAAACCCCCAAAGTTTCCCTGGGCTTACATCACTCCTTGACAGGGGAAGGGTCAGATCCCATCTTTGGCATCGTATGACAACACCTGCCTTTGCTCCCCTCTTAGTCATGTGAAACACCACTCTGATCTCTGTCTCAGCCTGCTGTCACCGCTGCTCCCCATCCGCTGATCTCATGTTCCTCGCCGCCAGTGCTCTCACCCTTGCTCCCACCCCAGGAAAGTGCTTAATTGCTTCTCCTTCTCTTAAGGGAGCACCCTGTGGACCACACACTCCTCTCAACTCCAGCCTAGGTGCTTTCTGTTAAGCAACTAGAGATCCTTAAAAGTCCAGATGACCCCGTTATAGACCTCTCTGCCCTGTCTCCTCCAGCCAGTTCCTACTTCGCTACTATCTCTTCACTATCAATGTCTCATTGTCCCATTCCCAATCTCCACTTCCCAAGCTTCTCATCCTCTTCCAGTCTTTTTGCCCAGCATGTCTCACCTTTCTGATGTCCAGTTCCAGTCCCAGTCTCCCTTTCATCTACCCTCATGACAGTCCCTCAGCCTTTTCTATGCTCTCTCTCCTTGGGCAGCCATTACCTGTCTCTGCCACTAATATGTATGTTCCAGCTTCTTATGTCCCAGCATCTTTGCCCATGAAGTCCATCCTGCTTCTCTTCTGAACTGGTTCTCCCCACACCCTTCAGACACAGTTCCCCAGATGCACTGGCTCCAGTCCCAGTCTCCCTTCCCAGGCTCTTCAGCCAGTCTCTGTGTTCCCTCCTTGCTCTGTCTCAATCTCCCTTAACCATGCTAGTTCCAGTCTCCCCTGTTCCCTGGCTTTTTGTCACATTCATGTCCCTCCCATCCCACTCAGCCCCACAGCTCAGCCAGTCCCAATCTGCTCTCTCTGGCTCCTCGTCTCCTTACATCAATTAGCTTCTACTCCCTTCCCTCCCTGACTCCCGGTTTCCCTCCCCAGCGAGTTCCAACTTTTCAATCCCTTAGTCCCAGCCTTCCTCCCAACTTCCTAGCTCCTTTCCACTATCCCCGAATCCTTTGCCAGCCTCCAATGTCAGCCTTCCCCCAGGCTGGACATGTCTACACATGCTCTTTAATGTGCATTATCCTATTTTAATGCGCATTAAAGCGTTACTGAAAAAACAGCGCTATTTAGTTCATGCGCATTAAAATAGGCTAATGCGCATTCAGCATCACTTAAAAACCGTGCTCTTTAGTTAATCCACATTACGGCAGGCTAAAGCGCATTTTCCTAGTACCTCACAATGGAGGTACTAGATTGAATGTGCATTAACTAAAACATGTTAATGCATATGTAGACATGCCCTTTGTCTCAATCCACTCTCCCCTCAGGTGTCTTGTCTGTGCCCTTCCCATCTAGATCAGGCTGAAACATATATAACTTACTTTCTGATTCTACATTTATGTCTTCTCCATGTTACTTGCAAGTGTAGAGCCTTGTGGGGGGGTCTATCAATATAAAGGGATTTAAAGTATATTCAACAGATGGAGTGAGAAAGAGAAATTATTAAGAGCACCTGAAACTCAGTCCTTCTCAAGCATCATTAGACTCCCTTTGTAACGGTCTCCTGCAAATGCTGCAGGGCTAATCCCCACCTCAGCTGTTGACTCACAAGTACAGCACATGGCTAAATGTCTGATCATGAACCATCTTCTCCCTCTAGGCTTGGACTGTTAATTTTGTTGCGATGGAGACTGTGTCCCTGGAGCATCAGATCCAGAGTGTGCAGCGACACATCGCCTTCCTGAAGAAGGAACAGATGGAGCTGCTGCATGACCTGCACCTGGAGATCCTTCGACTGCAGAAGCATTGCTCAGGTGAGCTCTTAAGGTCATGGCTAACCTTGCGTAGGGACACCTCCCTGCACTTTCCCATCAAACAGATAACATGGACATCAAAGCACTGCACACTCTAACATGTGACACACATTATAGTCTGTAGGAATTAGACTGTATCCCTTTATATCATGTAAGCCTTCCAGTGGCTCTCACTATATGTTTTAGACCCCAAAAGAGGAGGATATATCTCTATAACTAGAGCCTACCTGTCTGTGTTATTTCATGAATGTAGAAAGTCAGAGCAACTGTGCTGCATAAACTCTAAGATCTCCTGGTTCAACAACTTTTTCTACACACACACAGATTTAGCTAGGTACTGTGCACCCTGAATCCTGAACACTTGCACTGTTGGCTGTTTCCCTTTTACAAAGAGGCTCATCGAATCCTAACCAGGGTGTGCCATGAACTGACTGAATCCAGCTGAATAATATCCACTAGGAACCATTTATCTCAAGATGGAAGATCAAATGCTATTTTAGCTGTGACACATGGTAGAAAGCCTGGGCAATTTTTTATTCTAGCAGTCTACTGACGGCATCCAAGATAAAACAGGGGCTTGTGCTTATAACCCATCATTAAAAACCCATCCTTTTGTTTTAATTCTGCACTAGATTACAAGGCACTTCTTGAAAGAGGATTAGCTTTCCCGGTGTTCAGTTGCCGCCCCATGTTCATCACTATCGTTATATCTGGCATTAGCTTTACTGCATTAGCTGCGCACTGAGTAGTAATTCACTGGTCTCTGAAAAAGCATTAACTAGAGAGATGATACTGCCACTTCCTGCAGTGATCTGTGCCTTCAAAGGTATCTTGTCTCTCGATTATTGATTAAGATATAAAAATAGTTCATCGTTTCTCCAGTGCGCCAGTAGCCTAAGGACAGGGAACCGGCTGAGCTCCATTGATAACAACAAGGGTGAGATCATACCAAAGTCTACTTCAGAACTGCAAGAAATGTGGTCCTGTTTTATTTTTTGCAATGAGGCAATGTACAATCAATTCCCCAACCCCCATACCAGTCTCTGAAGCAGGGGAGTAACACACACCATTGGCAGCCTGCTTGAGTCGCTTTCTGCCCATCTTGCTGGATGCGTTCTGAAGACAGCCACATAAATACAAGAGTTCTCCCCACCCTACCTCCCCTCTCTGATTATCTTTTCTTGGCATGAATTTTTAACAAGACATCGCAGTACAAGCTGCAGTTCCTGCTTCCTGCTGCAAAGCAGCCTCCCACCCTTTCCACAACATTCAGAGTCTCTGTTACCTAGGATTTAAGTGTTCAGTTGTGCAAATGGTGCAAAGCAAGGGCTAGATTTTAAATGGCAGGCAAAGATGTAAACTATAATTAAAGGATTCATCTTAAAAATAAATGTCTTGCTCTTATACAGCACTCTTCAGCAG